AAAAAATATTAAAAAACAGACTGGTAGTTGACCCTGGCGCTGGTGAAGCCAGCAGTAAGCAGGCAGGCAGAGAGTCTGGGAGGTGAGGTGAAGAGGTTCCTCCAGTTGATGTCAAGAACAGGAGAATGAAACAGAGAGAGTGGTGGATTAACCATCCAAAGACCTTTGTAGCAGTGTCCCAAAGGGTCATGGTTTGTGCTTCAAGAACGAAGATTCAGCAAAGTTACAAGAATTTGCTTGGAAAGGATAAAAATGCGGAAACCTCACATGAATCCCAATTCACAGATAACCAGACGCACCTGAAACATCTCTGTGTAGCTGAAGAGGGAAGACTCAAGAAGCAAATCAGGAAAGTTCTCCAGCCTTTTGCCAGAAAAGCAAGCAAGCCTTGACCAGGTTTTGTCTGAAGAACAGTACAGCCTTGACCATCAACTGCCGGAGGAACAACGAAGCACAACAGTAAACTCTTGCGCCACTCTAAAGGCAAATCACAAGGAAGCATCCAATCAAAAGGCACATGATGAATAGGCAGACACAAGCCAAGCATGCTGCTAAGAAACAAGAATCTGAGAGGAGGAAATGGGAGCGAGAGAAGCTCCAAGGCTACAAAAAGAAGAAAGTTGAAGTGTTTAAAATATTAAGCACAATGACTAAAAGAGGTCAGTCAAATTTGACTTTACAAATGGAATATCATCTTCAAAAAAAAATACAAGCAAGAGATTAAATCAGTTATACCCTTAGTCAAAGGTTAAACCATCTGTATGTCTATTGCACTTTTCTGAATATATGAGGGGCTTCAAAAAATTCATGGGAAAATCCCATCGTCCTTTCAGTCCGTTTTTCTACAGACGTTCTTTGAAGATTTGTGTAGAGTGTCTCTTAAAGATTAACTAAATATGTGAACCTAAACTGGGTTGCTAAGTTATACCAAGTGTAAAATGTCACAAATATTGTTGCTTTATGAAAGGACGTTTTCTTTCTTTTGTCCAATAAAAGTTTTAAAGATTTTTTTTAATAATAAGTCACTTTAATGGGGGCTCTTAAAGCTCTTGTCACAATCCATACATACATTCATTGTATCAAGCACACTTGTATATTGTTGCCATCCTCGTTTCCAAAACATTTTCTTTCGACTTGAGCACTTGGTATCAACTCATTTCCCCACCCCACCCCCACTCTCCCTTCCTCATGAACCCTTAATAATTAAAAAAAAATTTTTTTTTCATGTCTTACACTGACCACTGTCTCCCTTCAACTACTTTACTGTTGTGTATCCCCCTGGCAAGGGGGTAATGTAAATAATTGTGATTGGTTCCCCCTCTTTCCCCCCACTTTCCTCTGCCCCTCCTGGTATCTCTGTTCTCATTATTGGTCCTGAGGGGTTTATCTGGATTCCCTGTACCAGTGTACATGTTCTGGTCTAGTCAGATTTATAAGGTAGAATTGAGGTCCTGATGATGGAAGGGAGGAAGCATTAAAGAAACAGAGGAAAGTTGTATGTTTCATTGGTGCTATAGTACACCAACTGGCTCATCTCTTCCTTGTGATTCTTCTATAAGGGGATGCCCAGTTGTCTACAGATGGGCTTTGGGTCTCCCCTCATCTTCCCCCTCATGCACACTGATATGATATTTTGTTCTGGGTCTTTGATGCCTGATACCTGATCCCATCAACACCTGATGATCATACACACTGGTGTGCTTCTTCCATGTGGACTTTGTTGCTTCTCAGCTAGATGGCCGCTTGTTTATCTTCAGGCCTTTAAGACCCCAGATGCTACATTTGTTGATAGCCAGGCACCATTATCTTTCTTCACATTTGCTATGCACCTGTTTTGTCTTCAGCGATTGTGTTGGGAAGGGGAGTATCACAGAATGCCATGTTATTAGAACAAAGTATTCTTGAGTTGAAGGAGTACTTGAGTAGAGGCCCAATGACCATCTGCTAACTTAATATTAAACCTATAAAAATATGTACATAGATCTATTTCCCTATCATTCTATATAAATATATTTACATATGTACATGCCTGTATTTAGACCTTTATAGTTGTCCTTTGCCTCTTAGTTCTTTCCTCTATTTCCTTTTATTTCCTCTCGTCCCACTATCATGTTCGGCCTTCAATCCGGTTTCAGTACTTTCTCTCGATTACATTGCCCTTGATTAAGCCCTACCAGGCACCCTACACCCTCCTTGCCATCGATTTTAGATCATTTTTTGTTCCCTTGTCCCTGGGTTTATAAACGCTCACTTCCTTTCCCCTGCCTCCCCTCTCCCATGCCCCCACCCTCCGAACAGTTGGTCCCACTGTTTTCTCCTGCAGATTGTTTATCCCACCTATCTTATCTAGATAGACATGCAGAGACAATAAGCACAAAAACAAGACAGAGCAAAACAACAAAAGAAAACAAAAACAACAACGACAAAAGAAAAGCCTATAAATAGTTCCAGGTTTGTTTGTTGACATTTAGGAGTGTTTTCTGGTAGAGTCTGATGCGGTGCCATGCCCCTGGCACCAAAGTCTGTTTTTGTTTCAGGACTTCATTGCTTTTCTCCCCTGCTGCTGTGTTGCACACCCTTAGCGTTTCACCCAGTGTGGTGTGATGGAGTCAGATCAGGCACAACTGTGCCTCTTCAGTGTCGTTCCTCGCAGCGCTATGGGTCAGGGAGGGACTTCATGTCTCCAGGTGGGGCCAGCCCAATGGTCCTCTCTGTGCATTGGCTGCTCTGAGCAGGAATATCATTCTCCGGGCTTGGTGGGCCAGAATGTGGTCCACTCTCTCTACTTCCCTCTTTGTTTGCTCCTGTGTCCTCTGATCAGACATGTCCCTCTCCCTGAGCTGTAGCTTCAGTGCTGTCCTCTGAAGTGCATTCTTCTGCAGGGGGGGGCGGGGATTTTCTGTATCTGTTCTACATGGTAGGACTTGTGTTTTATTTGTTTCTAAAGAAAGATTGAGTCTAAAGAATTTAAAGCACCTTCCATTTGGGAGAGAGACTCAAACAGAATACTTTTGCAATATGTAAAGTTTGTACAAAATGAAATGTTTTTTAATATTGAAAACTGAAACAACTTTAAAGTAGGTCCAAAAAGAGATGAAATGATAAAGTGTTCGTTTTAACTTAACTGCGTTTGTCATAATCCACTTTACAATCCTCTACCTGATAGAAAGACTCTTCATATCCCTAGACTATGGTCACAAGGGATTCATTGGAGGATTGATCCGTAGAGAGGATGCTGCAAATGGATTTGGAGCTTCCACTGTCGTCCACAGCCTTCTGAAGACTGGGTGTTCACAATTTAAGCTCTGATACCATTCCCTCTCTGGATGCTCCCAATTAAAAGTGTTAGTTCGTTGTAAAAAGCATTTTTAGTTGAGAGGATTTTGAAATCTGATCAGAATAATTGTCGAAGGGGTAATCTCATCCTGCAACACTGAAACCCCAAACACATTCACACAAAGTTCTTCAAGTAGCATATTTCAATAAAACTACTGTCAATAAAAGGAATTACTAAGCAAGCCCTGGGATACCCTATGGCTTGTTCATTTTCACATGTGCTGGTGGCGTAGCAGGTTAGGTGTCATGCTGCTCACCACAAAGTGAACAGTCGGGAACCACAAAACCATCCCTAAGAGAGCAATGAGACTTCCTACCCCCATGAAGGCTGACAGTCTCGGAAACCCACACAGGGCAGATGTACTCAGTCCTATGGAGTCTCTGTGCAGTCCAGGCCCACAGAGAACTAGCATGCTTCAGATCCTTATGGTTTGTTAGGGTCCAGAGAGAAGGTACACTCCTGTACACACGCGCACGCACGCACACATACACACACACACACCACCACCACCGCCGCCGCCGCCGCCCCACCTGCAGAGGTAAGCCAGTTTTATTAAAGCATAGAGTCACTTAGAAAGAAATGAAGCGAGTTCCTCTCACCAGGTGAAGAAGGCCCTTGGGCATGGGAGATACCTGTAGTTTTAAATGGCACTTTCAAAGGGGAAGGAGTTGCTGCTCTGTACATGGTCAAGCAACTTTCCAACCAGTCATTGCGTTCGTCCTTGGGTCTCATGCGTGGTTTCCTTCCGTGTTATCTGGGCTGTGGCTCTGGGGCAGCATGCTCCAGAATTATCTGAGTACAGTAGTCCTGTGTCAGGATTTTCATCATGGCAGGCAGAGCGGAAGACCTTGCTCTGTCCCTGTCCGTCTGTATGAATTGAAATCCACTTGATGACAGTTTTTAATGAGTATTACATGTTGCCTACAAGAAGTCCACTTTACATATAAGGATATCGATTATATAGTGGGCGACTGTACATTTGTTTCGCTTCAGAGAGCTACTTGTTACTGTAGATTTCTGTAAAGATACAATTGCCCTTTACAATTACACGAAGGTCCCTGAAGGTCCCTGAGCAGCGGCACCAACAGAAAGGCTGGCGGACTGAACTGATGAACTGAAGCGTGGGCACGGCGGAAAGCAAGCCTGGCGCTCGGCTTCCTAGGCTTGGGATCACAGTCAAGAAAGCCCAGTTCTACTTCGCAACACACCAGGTCCTCAGGAGTTGGAATGCACTCCCTACACAGGGATTTTGGTTTTAAGCCTTTTTCTGTCGCTAAGGGCGATTATAGACAAAATAAATAAGAAGGCAAGCAATGAGAGAAAACTCATCCAGAAAAGTCGACCGAGTAAAGGTCAAGCCTGCAAGAACACCTCTATGGCTCCGACGCGTGACCGGCGCGAAGGACAGGGACCGGAAAAAGCGGAGAAGCCACGGCGCCCAGAAGCCTCGCCCCTCAGGCCGGAGAGAGGCGAGCCGCCCACCCGCCAGCCAATCCGAAGCCGAGTTCTGCGCGCGCCCCCTGCGTGAGCGACCGCTCTCCGCTCAAGCCCCGTTTGCGACAGTTTTCCGGGTAGCTTTGCGGCCGGTGCTGGTGCGCCGGCGGTTGGGACCTGTCGCTTTCCGGTAGAGACGCGGAGCAGACGGCCGCGGCCCCTGGGCTGGCATGAGCCGCGCGCCCAGTGGGGGCAGCGCAGCCGACGCGGAGCCATGGTGAGTGCGGCCTGCTGGCCTCCCGGCCGAACCCGGCGACGCGGCGTGCTCCCTGGGGCGGGACTGGGCGACGGGTTCGGGGCCCCGAGACGCCGCGGCCCGAAGCTCGGAACGGTGGGCTCGCCAGACCCGCGCCTTTTTGTGTGTATCTTAACCGCTCTTCCGCGAAGGTCTCTAAGCGCCTGGGCCGCCGTCTCCCCTCGCAGCCGGTCAAAGGCAGAGGCTGCCGGGGACGCCGAGAGGAGCGGAGACGCTCTCCGTTCTACCTGCATTCACCTTAGCGTCCTCGCGGCCTGGGTCCAAACGCTTGGCCCTTCCTGCCTGCCTCCTGCGACCTAGAACTCTCCTCCCGGCTCCAGCAAGTGTGGTGATGCCAAAGGCACTCCGAAAACCAGTGTTCTACTTGAGCCCACGGTTATCTTTGGAAATGCTTTGTCAGAACCGCGCGAGAACCACCCGAACTCGGTTCTCGATTTTCTAACTCGGCCCTTATCCAATTCTTTGGGGACTTCCATTGCCCATGTCGGTATTTTGGAGACAAGTCGACTTGCCGTCATTTTCCGTAGTGAAAATCCCAACGAGCAGTGGTTTCAGAGAAAGATTGGGCAGAATATGTCCACTTAAAAGTTTTTCCCATTGAGTTGAAACTTGTCATGAGTTGAGGTTGGGTGCACAAGGAGCGTGCTAGGCAAGGCTCGGCTCGGCTCACTAATGTCCACTCTGCTTCCTGTGCCAGGCCAGCACTGTGGTGGCAGTTGGACTTACCATCGCTGCTGCAGGATTTGCAGGTGTGTTTGGTTTGGGGCGGGGAGGTGGGGGGTTGGGAGGGAAGTGAGGTCAGGGAGATGAAGTTTTGTTTATTCTCTTGCTTTTGTTTTTAGGCCGTTATGTTTTGCAAGCCATGAAGCATGTGGAGCCTCAAGTAAAACAAGTTTTTCAAAGTCTACCAAAATCTGTAAGACTTCCTGAACTTTTTTTCAATTTAAGGAAAAAAGGGTAAATTTGCAAGCCTCTGTACAAACTCTTTGGCCCTCTTCTTTCCCTTTTTACAAGAATAGTTCTGAACTCTACAGTGATAACAGTCCAGTGTTCTGTGACAGTATTTGTGGGAGTGAGTGTTGATAGCAATTCTAGTTTTATGTGAAAGTGTGGGTTTCCCACAAAGGATGTACTCCAGTATCTTCTCTTTACATTCTTGCACTCCTCGTTGGCTCTATGCATCACAGACGTCAGCGGGCCATGTCGTTATCTGACTTGATATTCCTATTGTATGACCTTATGGCCTAACTGCCATGTGATGCTAGGGATTGCTTCAGTGAGACATGACTGGCTGTGATAGCCTGTTGTGTAGATCATCGTTATGTGTGATTGAATGTGACAGATGGTTGGCTTTACCAGCAGCAACCTGATTGCCTGCCTGTGTCTTATTAGTTACCATGAGCCTTTACTATCCTTGCGCCACTTGCCTCAGGAGACCTCAAAATCTTTCTCGAGGCACTTTTTGTTTTGAAAACAGGGTCTCATATTCTGAGAGCAAACTTTCACCCAGACCATGCATAACTTGGAATGATTTCCCCGTTCCAGAAGAAGAGCCCTGGTGGTGTAGTGGTTATACATGGGGAGGCATGGTTGGCCTCTCAAAACCACCAGCTGCTCCGCGGGGAGAAAGGCTGGATTTTCTCTACTCCCACAAACAATTGCCCACAGAGGGTCGCTATGAGTCAGCAATGACTTGATGGCAGTGAGTTTGGATTTGTTTGTCTCAGAACTGATTTTGAGTTACTGTTCATTTATCTTACATTTCCAAGAAGTTTAGAGTGTCTAGAAAAGTATTTTAGGACATTTGTTGCTACTTGTAGATACATGTGAATTACACTGACAGATCTCTAAAATGGCTACTTCTGTTCTCTGAACATTACAGGCATTTCCTTACCTGCTTTTCCATTTATTGATGTTTTCTTATTTCTTCTTATAGGCCTTCAGTGGTGGCTATTACCGAGGTGGATTTGAACCCAAAATGACGAAACGGGAGGCAGCATTAATTCTGGGTGTAAGGTATAATGATCCCTAATGTTTTAAAATATTTTTTCTACAATTTTAGTGATAGGAAGACATGTAAGAAAACGTTCTCTCCTTAACTAGAGGGCATTAATGAGGCATATTGCCCCCAAAAGGTTGATAGTAACTCAAGTGCTGATGCTTAAAGGGTTCCTTCCCTGTCCATGTTAAAGCTCTAGCTATTCCTTACAAAGGTCAAGAGAAAGTATACTAGCACATAGCACTTTTCATTTTATTAATAAACATGCCAACAGTGCTCAGTAGTATCTGTAACCAATTAATATGTCCTATGGTATAATTCTGCCTTTGTTTTAAAATACTAAGCAGGCTTTCCTTTTCTGTAAAGACTAAGGAATATTTACAACTTCAAGTAAGTTTTCAGAATGTATTTTTAAAGGAGTTTGGGTGTCTAAGGAGCAGCTAGTTCCAATTCAGAATATGCATCTTCCTTGTATTGCAAGAAAGAGGTTCTTAAGCTTTTCCTAATGCCATGTGTTGAGTTACTACAGTTTTGTACTACCATTTATTAACTTTAAGGACGAGTTTTTTTAATGTGATTGAGAAACAGACTAGACAATACTTTTTTTTTTTAATTAGTCCTACTGCCAATAAAGGAAAAATAAGAGATGCTCATCGACGAATTATGCTCTTAAATCACCCAGATAAGGGTAAGTAGTCTTTGAATTGTTATATGTGCTCTTGGATCAAGCAGCTGTGGTTAATGGATTGATTTTTAGCTGTAATTCTTGGTGGTATTGCAAGAGAAATGATCAGATATAAGTGTGCTGTCTCCAGAATTGTTTTTTGGGGGGACTGTCTTAAAAGAATAAATTCTGAATGAATGTCTGTTTACAGAATAATGAGCAGGTCTATTTAGGAAGTAGTAATGAGCATTGATGTCTGCAGTTCTGAAAAAATGTGATTTATAATACTGACAAAGCTATAAACCATATTACTATGGTTTTCTTGTCTATATTCACAATTGAATAAACTTAAAATGTAACTTCAGCATCAATTAGACCCTTTGGAACTAAAGACATAGATATTTATATAGAATGCCATTGATTGACTAGTTTCTAATACACTTACTATAATAGCAACTTGTTTCCTACCTTCCCTGGTTGTGATAAAAAGCAAACAGATTTTGCCTGAGTACTTTTGGAAGATTCCTATGCTTTCATTTCTACTAATTTCACTAAGTAGGAAAGCAGTTAATAGTAGTTTCTAATAAGCAGACATTAAGAATCTCTTTAAAACTTTTTGTTTTCCTGTAGGAGGATCGCCATACATAGCAGCCAAAATCAACGAAGCTAAAGATTTACTAGAAGGCCAAGCTAAAAAATGAAGTATATGTATGATGAATTTTGAAGTACCTATTAGTTTATATATGAGTCTTGACTTTTTGTAATAAAATGCCTCAAAGCTTTGGTTTTTAACGATTTGGTATGAATTAAACCAAAACCTTGTGTGTACACACATACATGCATGTTTAACTTTGAGTTTCACATCATATATAGAGGTGGTTATAAATGTATACCACTTAAAATTAGTCATTTAGCAAATAATTTGGTGTCTTTGTAGAAGTGCTCTGATGGGTTCTGAGACTAAACCTTTATAGGAGTAGCAAGGCTCCTTATCTTTCTCCAGTCCAGAAGGAACTTATTCTGCCTTGGTATATTCTGCACTCAAGGCAAGAAAACCAGAATCTTTTCACGGAGCCCCTGGTCTAATGGAAGACTGACAAGAACTGAAATTGTAGGTCCTGTTTTAATACAAATAATTACCTTATAGACTCCTGTAGAAGCTGAGTTTTTTAGCACATTTTAAAAGTAGTTTTGTGGTAAAATTAGGTGCCATGGCTGATATTCAGATTGGCTTATACTCAAGTATATACGGTACATTGTACACAACTCTTCAGAAATTTCTAATTCACTGCCATCAAGTCAATGCTAACTCATATCGACCCTATAGGACAGAAGTGGCTCCTGAGTTTCCGAGGCTAACTCTTTATGGAATTGGAAAGCTCTATCTTCTGTGTGTCTGGTACTTTCAAACTGCTGACCTTATGGTTAGCAGCCTGACATGTTACCAGTCCCTTCAAATGACTCATTTGGTTATTTTCTTACAGAGGTCATCACCAAACCGAAACACCTATTCCTAGCTAGTTCATTAGCCTACATTTTACATTTAAGATGAGTAAAACAGTACTTTGTCCATTTAATGATAGGCAACCGTCAGTAATGAATGTACAGGTGTGAAGCAAGAGTAATGCTGGCTACAGGGTTTTAGACCTAATCAATGTCAATAAGTGAAGAGTGAAGCTATTATCAAACGTGAAATGTCTTCACTATGAAGATGAACTCTTAAAAAGTATGCACACTAATAAAATGACATTGGAGGACAAGTGGCTTACAGAGGGACCAATAGTAGTGTCCTAGGGCTCGCTCATGAAAAAACGCATTTGCCATCAGGTTAGTTTTGACTAAGCTCACAGGACAGAACTGCCTCAGGATTTCACGTCTGTGATTTTATGAGAGCTAATGGCCACATCTCTGACCCCCAGTGCAGCTAATGGGCCCATACAACCAACCTGTTAGCAGCTGAGCACATTAGTACAGCACCAGCCTCCTGTTTTAACTGGAGAACCTATATAAAAGGTGACTTCACTTGTGATCACCAGCAGGTGTATATTATAGTGCAATGATGACTGTATCTCAATTGATAGAAAACGCATGGAATTTTGAGGTAATCATAGTAGTAATCTGTTGTGCTGTGGTACAGCTTGTATCTGCTGCTTTAAAAAATTGTCATATTCCCATTTAAAATAAATCTGATCAAGTCTATTATGATTTAGAGTGTTATGAAACACTAGCCTAAGATAGCCAAGGCTTTTGTGTAGGGTAAACATTTTAAATCTAGAAAAAGTATCATGGTAGGTGGAAAATTTTTTAAGATGAATGAAAACCCATTTTAACACTAAAGAGCACAGAACAAGTTTTTTTTCTATTTGAACCATTTTTTAAGACTTAATATTTTTCAAGTAGAACCAAGAATCTATCACTGAAGGCTTGACCTAACATTTTCTTCAGAAAAAAATCTATGAAGGCTGTAGATTGTATTGTAGAATGTCAGTATGCTTTAAAGAGCCCTCATGTTTTTTTAAATGAAATATTTAATGCTTTTATTGAGCACTTGACGATGTAACTATTGTGCTAATCTAAGCATTTTCCTGTCTCAAAGAAGTTCCTTAACTATTTTGCGCACGGTAGAAGTGAGGAAAGTGAAGTTAACAGAGGTTGCACAACAAGGATGAACCCGTCCCTAAACCCGTCTACCTCTGCTCAAAGCACCATAATCTTAACCTGGCTCACAGTTCTGACCATTTCCTTTGGTGGTGCTGAAATGTGACTGGTACTCGTCATTACATCTTGTTTGAGCCACTTTACACCAGCTGTTAAGATTCTCAGTGGGGGCTGGTGTAGATAATGGTTCAGCACAAAACTGGGTAGTAGGTGCAAGTTTAATTGTGACAGTTCCTCTAACTTTATGGATGAGGAAGCTAAACGACATGGCAAGTGGTTTCTAAGGTTGTACATCAAAACTAAAATTGACCCTTGGTGACTGTGTCCAATGTTCCTTTGTAATTTAATATTCTTAGTAAATTGGGGGGAATTCCTATCCATGTTACTAGATATAGTTTGTGCTCCTCAGCTATTTCCCTTTTGCTTTCAGTGGACCTTTGGGCCGAGCCTGGAGGAATCCTAACTGCAGTATAAAACTTGGCTTTCTTGAGTTAATTGGCCCTCCCAGAAATTAAATACTTAATTAGAAGATGCTTGCCTTTCCAAATGTAAAGATTTACTTATATACCACCAAATTCACCGTCAGTCAAGTTGACTAACTCATCAATCCTATAGCAGCAGCTCTGCGAGGTTACACATTGGGCTGCTAGTTGCAAGGCCAGCAAACCATTACCTGTTCTGTGGGAGAAAGATGAGGCTTTCTACACCTGTAAAGACTTATAGCCTTAAAAAAGAAAAAAATCACAGCCTTTAGAACCCACAGGGACAATTGTACTGCCTTATTAATTTGTTTCAATCCCAGGGTTTCTGAAGGCGTTAGATGCCCCGTCTCTACTGCAGAGCGCTCAGTGGGCTTAAACCACTAACCAGGAGTGAGTTTCAGTTAGAAACACTTGCCAAGAGTCTGATATGGCAACTATTTGATGGCAGTCATTCTTGAAAAGTGAATTGTTAGCACTAGAGAAAAATCTAAAACCATCCAAAGAACCTAGTTGGCAGGACTACTGGCAAACCTGCTACCCGAAGGGAGCAATCTTAATTCCAGATATGTGGGTGCCAGGAAAAGAGGTAGAGGACTCAAAATTATGACGGCAAAGATTAGGAAGAATTTATAGCATCCTACTCTTTTGCCTTTTGGAATTTCATTGTACTTTAAATTCTGGGAGCTTTCTGGGAAATCCAGCTGTTAAAAAGTAAAATTTTGCTTCAATAACATAGACTTGCTTTATTACAACCATAGATTTTGAACTGTCTTTAGTAGACTAAGCTCATTGAAGGAACAGCCTGTCAGAACACTTAAGTGGGTAAATCAGCTATGCTACTTTCACCAAGTAGACTGATTCATTTACCTAGCTGTCATAAAGACATGTGCAGGGTTTTGTTACTAAGGAATCTGCAGAGAACACACATGGTGCTGTACTCCCAGAGTAAACATACCCATACCTACTTTGCAGCAGTAAACATACTGGTACCTACTTTAACAGCAATCCTTCCCAAGCTACAGAATGTAGACTGCATACAGCAGCTACAAAACAAGATTATGGTTTAGCACAGGTGTGATGGAAACTCTGTTCCCACAAAGGAATGGCTGGCATGAGAGGGCTGACATTAAAATACCAACTTGCTTTTCATTCCTACTTAGTTGTTTTGTTTGCTACCTATCAACTCTGCATTTGCTGTTCCAGCATTTGACTCCTGGTGAACTTGTGTCAAAAGTAGAACTATGTTCCATAGATTTTCCACACTTCTTTTAAATCACAAACCCTTTCTCTACGGGCACCTCTGAGTGATTCAAACCTCTATTTGGTTAGCAGTCATGTGTTAACCATTTGCAATGTTCTAGGGGTTTGTGTGTATTCAATAATATATTCATAAAAATGATTCATTAAGCTTTGTCCTATATGGTATTCCAGATAAGCTTCCATACACTTTTCAGTTTGGCGTGTCACTTCTCCAACTCCAAATATATAACTGAACTATTAAGATTTTATGTATCCCTACTAGTAATTTTACCAACAGTGGCTGACCCAACCTACCACTTTACAAAACAATTTCAGACCCACTGAACACTGGCCTTTTAAAAAGCTGATTCTTCACCAAACCAAGCCCTGAGACTCCCAAGGTTTCAGGAAAGGCAGGTCATTTTGTGCATGCAGTCTCAGTTCCTATTCCATGAGTCAGGTGATGATCCATATATGCTTTCTATGTATATGCTGAAGCAATATAATTAAGTGGCACAGCAACCTCTCAGAAGTTTTTTTTTAAGTGATTCACCTATTGTGAAGTTCACCCACAACAGTATCTTATTTAGCAATGACAGCAGCCATGTCAAGTGCTCAGACCCACAAACCCATCATCCTCCCAACCCCACCCCGAGTAAGGTTGGAAGGCTCAAACAGTTGCCTCTAAGGCAGCAGTTCTCAACCTGTGGGTCGTGACCCCTTTGGGGGTCAAAAGACCCTTTCATAGGGATTGCCTCATACATCCTGCATATCAGATATTTACATTCCGATTCATAACAGTAGCAAAATTAGTGACGAAGTAGCCACAAAAATTTTATGGTTGGGGGTCACCACGTCATGAGTTATTAACAGATGGTGGCATTAGGAAGGTTGAGAACCACTGCTCTAAGGAATGGGCCTTTTGCCTTCTGAATGTAACCATGTGGTTTTAATTTAAAACTAAAAAATTCCAAAACTTGCTTATCACAATATTCTTGAGCTTCTAGTAATTTGTAATGAAATCTTAACCCTATTTCCTAGAGTATAGTTATTGCTATTTTAAAGAACTGACCAGAGGTTCTGCATTCCTTTCCTATTCAATGGAAACGACTTCGTGATTCTGACTGTTCAACAGAGGAGGAAATGAGATGCTTTCTTACAGCATATTTACTAATTTGGTGATTTAAATTCTTCTGCTACTTTTAATATATAGTCCAATCATGGAATAGAACTAAAAACAATTTTGTTTCTAGCTTTGACATATTAAAAACCTTTATGTTTGTGGGTAATTTTTTTGAAATCAGATTTGAAATTACTGAACGTCTTCATGCAAAGTGAGTAGGATCTATTTTTAATACTCAGCTCCCAGGTGCCATATTAAGATGAATTTAAGAAAAAGCATTTCACATCATCATGTCATCATCATGTCTTACCCTCATATGGAATAAATTTAAGGGCTAAGGTTAATATATTGACTGACCTGGCAAATTTTACATTTTTAACAAACTTTAGCTTCTCTTCCAGTTCCTGTAAGCTAACAAAAACTACATTTTTATACACATAATCATGTTCTGTAGCAAAATCTTCCTTCATTAGTAATCACTTGACTTTACCTCAGAAGTAGTTACATGCTAGATTTTGTATATCATTTATTCTGTAGAAATAGTTTAAAATTAAGCTATGTGGCTATAGTAACCACATAAAATTCTGATTTTTAATCACGATTATTGGTGTAAGAAACTTTAAATCTGGACAAAAGAAAAAGCCAGTAGGTGGCCTATTTGTTCCTTAAAGTATTCATTAGCAACTTTTTAAAATTCACCTTTAATAAAATTCAAGCCATAAAATTGTAGCTTATATCCATTGCCTTTTTTCAAAAAAAGCTTTTGATTAGAATTTTATTTTACAAAGATTTCTTTATAATGGTCAAATACTTGATCAATTCTCAGGTCACTCTAGTCTAAAAGGCTGTATTTAAAATTTCAGAAGGTTCATCACAAAATGATTAAATGGGCTACTGCTATTTTCATCCTATTAGCACATATAAATGATTAAAAAGCAATCAAAGGGTGCTAATCTAAGCTTGTAAGTAGCTCCAACTATCTTGCAACAATAGGTGTAAAAAGTAAAAAGTTATAAATCAGCAAATGGAAGATCAAAGTTTATTTACTACCTGCATACAAAAACATATTGCACATCAAACAACCAAAATCAAAAAGGGGAGAAAAAAAAAAGATAATCTACTGAGGACTAACATGTACTTTTACACAGAATCCACCTTCTGGAAATTGATCTTTTCAGTAGTTCAGGTTATGTCTGAGTGGACATGACTAATTCAGCTTAGTGTTTAACTAAAGCTATGTTTGATTTTTAAATACTGTACACTTTAATAAATAAACCAAACAGAGCCTCAATGTAGAACAGTCACTGCCAAGATCGCCCCGTGTCCCTGCAGATGAAAGTTTAACAAATGTATTCCAGTGGTCTGGAGTTTCCTCTACATACAGCATTTAAAAACACATACAACAGACCAGTTTCCAGACTAAACTAATGGAGAAATTACAATTCAGTGCAAAATATTTTAGACTGCATTTCATTCTAGTTTTCCTCAGGTGAAGAAGTGGTTGCATATTATTAAAAATGTAACAAAAAGCAGCTAATGCTTTCATAAAGAATATTACTGTTAGGGATCCCACCCCACCCCACAACCCCCCACCCCAGCCTCCCATCTCTGCCATATTTTGAAAACAAAATAACATTTCCTATAGCCAGCAACTTTTTTTAATGTTACATATACTATTCTCAAGGCACATCTGATGATATATTTTATAACACAGTAGGTGTCAAAGTATGTTTAACATATGATTTCTTCAGGATCCCTCCCCTTTCTGAATTCCAAATGGAGGAACTGAAAGTGCGATGTAAAGACTGGCGATCCGTATCCGTATTCTATCTTTGGCAAGCTTGTACAAGCACTATTGTAAATGTAATGTAAAAGAACTGTAAACTAAGAACTTCTTCAGTTTATGAAACACCATTCAGGACTGCTGCTTCTTGAGTATTTTCTTCTTTTAAGGTATTAATCTTTTCTTCTCCTGGAGTACGCTGTAGCTTAGAAATTTCATCGCCAGAAGCACTAGTTGGGCCATTTATTGCCTTTTCTGAAGGACCATGCTCTTCAATCACATCTTTTGCCTGCCAAAGGGAAACAACTTTTTCAACTTCTTTATAGATGCAATCTATAGCCAAGGGGGAAGAGAGCTACACAAACATTAAATAGGTACTATGTAATTTTAGCTGTATACATCACAATGGGTCAAAGAATTAAAATTCAAAACAAACACCAACACTGGGCTTTTCAGCTCTCTATCTCTAATGCTTAGTAGTACCCAAACCACAAGAAGCCGCAATACCTCTTTACTGAGCGAAACCTGGAGCGAATTGTATTGCAAACCATTGGAAAGCTCGCCATGTAAAAAGACAGTATCTTCAGCAAAGAATCACCTATTTTACCACTTTTGAAAAGCTCACATGTGCTGCCAAACCCCTTTAAACATTTAAAAAAGCTGAAGCTTAAAAGGTTTGTATCTACCACTTAGAAGAGGTATGTGTACACACACACACCACCGTCCTACTACTCCCAATTTAGTTTTTACTCCCAATATCTTTGAGCAGGCTGAATTTTACAAGGGCTATTTAAGATTCCAACTAGAAGCTACCTTAAAACTTCAGGCATGCAAGTCTTGTTACCTGGAGCTGAGAACAAAATCAAGAATCTTTTTACTAAAAATATTACTTTCCTCTATTTGGGGAAACACAGCAAATTAAGAAGTCAAAAATAAAACTGAAGTATTTAAAAAAACCACACCAAAAAAAAAACCAAAACAACCACCTACAGGTTAAATTCTCCTTACCATTTCTTTCTTGTTTTTAGCCAAAGTTTCCCTTGGGAGGTTTCTTTGTCTGCTCTGAGACTCAGCTCTAGAAATATAATCTGCAACTGTGACTGTTAAAGATGAGAAAACAATTACACGTGTTGAAAAAACACTTCAGAAGGTTGTGGATTAAAGAGTAATTTCACTATTAAATTAATGGTAGGTCACCTAATTTCATGGTGGTTTTTTTTTAGCTTGGGTACCTTGTCTCCAACCAAAAACAAAGCTTAAAATATTTGCCTGCACCTTAGTGCTACTGACAACAGAAAATTTCAAGCTGGCAACTGGGGAAGCTTGGGGTTAAATCTTTCCCAAGAACCCAGCTATTTGCTTCTGATTCTTGTGGAATAAATTTGGTGCCAATGCTTAACAACCAAAAATACAAAATGCAGTGTTCTATTAAGCCCAGAATGTTTCCAATTAGCTGTGGGAAATAAATAACTGTATTGTAGTGCAATTGTGGTATGTAGTGCAATTGTGGTATGATACACTTCAGTTTTGTAAAAGGTTGTTTTTGCTTTAAAATATAAATATTTTATGGGTATATTTCTTCATTTCCATACTGGAAACTAGTTTGAGTTAACTAAAACTATCAGCAAACTAAAAATAACCATTGTAACAATGTGAGCATCAATTACAGTAGGGGAAAAAAGGCCAGAGGGAATTCAGTGACTACTCTGTTCCTTCTCCATTTGCGGATTCCAGAGAGAGAAGCAGAGAAGTGGCTGACAGAAGTAGTATACACGTAAAAGACTAACCCAAGCAAAACCACATGTCCTACTACCACCAGCAGCCCAGGTGCAACATATAATCTGTTCCATGGGTACTCTAGACTGGCCCTGCCCTTAGAAAACTGCCTCAATCCTTTCCGTTCTATATTTACCCTCAGTTTGGATGGGAAAATGTCAATCATTTGGTCAAAGATAGTATTTTCTATCACACCCTGGTGAAGTAACTTCAGGTATGTAAAAATAAATTAACTTTTAATTACTGAAGCGAATTGAGTAAAGCATGAAGCCAAGTAATTTTATTTACTTAAAATCATTTGGAATAGCGGATAGTCCACCATGTTTAAATCATATGAAAATGATGCATTCTTCTTGATGCATTAGAAAGTAGGGTAATGATCGCAATTCTTTTAATTATGAATTAATGCCAAGCCTTATAAAATCCAAGAACTTTCTAGGAAATTCAATCTTAAAATTATGATGAAACAATTTATGCACATATTTTTATTAGAAGTACTACTATAAAGATGTTTTGCATCAAACTCTTCTTTCAAATTTTAAGAAACTAGGTGTACTCATTTGTAAGTTTTATAGTTGTTTAGCCATTGTTAATGAATTTATAAATACATTTACAAAACAGAAGAGGGGATATTATTGTCATTATCTACTGTGTGTGTGTCTACGTACATGGTGGCAAAACTGTTCTGCAAATAGCTATCATTTTGGAAGCAGCATAATGAATTTATGGTTTCATAGGTCTGTCCTTAATGACATCTGAGAAATTCAACAATTTGGAAACTTTACTAAATGGGAAAACAAATCCCTTCATCAACTATGTATAGAGACAGAATTTTTTGCGATTATTTATCTACTATGGTAGATTAAAAGAAATTTAACTTGGAAAGGTGAAAATTGATACACTCCCACTGCCCAAATAAAAAAGCAAAATCACAACTCTGGTTGATTCTGAGAAAATGGTTTATAACTAGTCCTAAAGACCCTTAAAAATCAATACAACACCCAGTATAATTGTTTCTATCTAAAATACAAGCTATTTTGTGTACCTTCATGTGAACTCAAAATACCATGAATAGGGCCCAGGTAAATAACTATACACCAGTGTATTGTAACATTCTGATTTTAATAAAGAACAGCCACTGCTTTACTAGGGCAAAAGAAATTTGAGGCAAATGAGGGGGAAAAATGCAAAGAACTTAAATGATGACGTATGTGACTCTGGATGGAGGCTGCTTCCCCTAAATTTGCAGGGGAGAGTAAAGGCTACAATATAAGGCTTTTTTGCCCTCCCCACTGTCTTTTCTTGTATTTGGAGACTTGATGGGGACAAGGCAGGCAACAAGTTCTGCCTGGGGAAAAGTACCAATCACAGCAGTGAAAAGGAAAAGATTTACTACAGGACACAAATCACTATCAAGATATCGGAAACTCCAAATCACTTAAGCTTCTCTTAGTGTATCATCTTAATTTGTTTCAAAGCTAAGAATATACAGAAAAAAAAATATGCCTCTGCTGCAACAAAACAACCATGTTATACAGTTTGTGTACACTGTCTTGGTCATAAACCCCCATCCAACTAATAAATTGCACTGCAATTTATGCAATGCATTTTTATATTTTAAAATGTATTCATCTTTGATAAATGACTATGATCTACTGATCTAAAACATATTTCTAACACTAAAGATAAAGAATAGGAAAAGAAAATAACGTTCCTGAATACTTTTATCTTTAAAATGTTTCAACTATCTTTAAACAAAATGGGAACACCTTTTACCAGTTCCCAAATCTCTCCTTAACTACTAAACATTAAGTGCTAAAAATGCTAGAATTTATACTCTTTAGTTGAGATAAATACATCAAAGAATTTTTGATTGGGAAAGAAGGAAAAAAATGATTAGTTTGAAAGGGGTTTATTTCAGGTGCACACATTTTCTTCATTGTGAATACACATAACTGTACACAGGAAATGGAAATGTGCTATAGACACAGCAGACAAATTCCTCTGAAGCTACTAGGATTTATGACTACTCAAACTGACATCTAAAACTAAGTCGGCACTATTAATGTTACTAGTTAAGTAGGTAATAAGGAAAAGGGCATCATACATAATAACAAATAAAAATATAACATGCATTCCCCTCTCATTAGGAAAAAGACACTTTCAAGTACTTTATAATTTTTTTCAAAACTGGCTAATACAATTTCCACCAAAACGAGGTGCTGAATTCAGACATACTAAACAGGCACCATGCAAAAGCTGCCCAGCCAATCACCCTTACTCCCAAAGTGCAACATAGTCCCTGGGTTGGCAGTCCCCATCTCAAGTGTGGAGAGCCTACCACGTGAACAAAATAATGATCTTCACATTGAGTATTTCCATGTAAAAACTGAGACACGACATTAGTCCAATTAGAAAGGTTACTAAGCATTTACACTGTGAATGCATTTTCTTAAGAGTAGTAGTCTTATTAGTCGAGTAAATAATTTATGCAATGCAAATATTGAATGTTGATGCACACATGTGCATGTTAAATATAATATATTTAAAAAGCAGACACATGACATTTTTCATGCTTGTGACCTGATGTCAACAGGTCACACAAGTTACCTGGCTGTCTATCTTCTGCCTGACCCCTGAAACGACGCCTGCGGCTACGATTGCGTCGCTGGGGTTTTTTTTCACTATCATCTGCAATTGCAAAGTTGACCATGAACTACTCTGACATTAAAAAAAAAAGCTTCTTAAAAAGCTTTCCTTCAGTCTTAAGAAAAGGAAATCAAATTTTTAACTAAACACTGAATGTAAAGCATATTATCACTGACAAGAAATAATACTTTTCATAGCCATAAGCATTTTAAACAGATTGAAAATGAAACTATCTAGATGTTTAGAAAATTTATGGTTATAATGAAACACTCTGACTTAAATTACCATGATTCAGCAGATAAAAGTTTTCTTGTCCAATACAGTTTGATTTCTACCAGAGTTAATGCCATTTCAGCCCTTTGGAAATAATGCCAACTCTTAATATATGTGAACTTCACAAGTGACATTCAAAATTTTAAAATCTACAAGCTGAAAGCCCAGTTTCAGTTTGGAGACAAAAGTGTCAAGTGTCTTGAGCAGTCTGAATATTTCTACTGAACAAATAGCACTAAATTCAAAATTCACTGCCATCAAGTCAATTCCAGCCTACAACAACTCTACAAGACAGTGTCAAACTACTCCTGAGAGTTTCTGAGGCTGTAGAAAACCTTAAGGGAGCAGAAAGCCTCATCCACCTCACCTCCCATGAAGTGGCTGGTGGGTTCAACTGTTGTTAACCTACTATGCCACCTGGGCTCCTAATAATAGCATCAAAGCCATTCTAATAAACCCTCCCAATAAAAATAATTGAAATAATTAGTTATGATAAATAGAACTATAAACTTAAGACAAACACAAAGCTATCTACACATTGAAATAAACACTAGGAAAAATTGAATTTGTGAATTGCATACTTTCTGGGGGGGGGGGGGTTCATACATTGATAGCATTATACAATGTGTCTTTGCCTTAAGTGCTTACATACCTAGCCCGTTTTCATTAACTGAAGCTGTATCAGATTCAGTCATCCCATCCATCAGAACAGCATCTTCATCAGTCCTTCGTCTACGAGACCGCCTACGGCGGTTAGTACTGTGATGAGATTCGCTGGCATCAGTGTCTGCAGTCTGATCTGATTCTGTATTATCAAGTAAGCTGTATGGATTGCTGTCTGGATCTTTGAGCACTATATGCATGTCAGAGGCAAGAAATATTTGTTTAAGAGAGCTGCAGTTAATATTGAACTATCACCAATTAATAATAAACTTAAATTTTCCCAACAAAAATATACTGTCTTCAAATAAATCATTTCCTGTTTCACTATTTTCCCTGGAAAATAAAGATATTTAAATATGGAAATTCTTTAAACGGTGATGGAAAAGTGAAGATAAGCAGAGCACTCAGCTTAACATTTCTGCCTTCTTTTGACAATGTATACTACACAAAACAGAGTATTATTACCACATGCCCAGTTTTACATTCACAGAAACATTCCACTAATATATACTAAATTCTAAGAAAATGCCTTTACTAAGTTTATAGTGACTGCGGCTTTTTCCTATTTCCTCCTAATACTCAACTTGCACTCCATGATAGATGACAGGACAGAAATATTAACTGAAGCAATCAAAATAAGTCCACACAAGAAAGCACACTAAAAGGTTGAAATTCTGTTTAAAGAAAAGGGAAATGTTGAAATGAATGCTGACAAGTGCATCTCTAGCAGTGAAGATGAGGTGGAGTTAGTAAAGAACAAACTTTAAAATGCAGAATTTGTAAGAAAAATACCCATCTTACCTATGTGCATTTATTGCTGCCAACAATCAAATTATAGAAGAAATTCAACTAATCACGATTTTTCCTAAATTTCCTTTGGTAACGGCTAGCAAGCTAGCATCTTTGTAAAAGACTAGGTAGAGTAAAGTACATTTATTTTGCAATTCATTACACAATATTATAGACTTTAATGCAACAGTGCCAATGTATTTCCCAGGAAGCCTAAGACTAGAGTTCAAAGAATTGTAACTGTGGAACTACAGAGAATTAAAATACCCTCGCATGTTTCTGTAATTTATAAGAACATTTGGCATATATGTAACATGTAAGTGCCTATCTTCTATAACACTTAAACCTTGATTTGGGAAGTAATATTATAAATGTGATTTTCTTATGGTGGTATACAATAATGGAATGTTAAAACTATCCCCAAGGTATCAAATATCCCTGACAATTCCCTCACTCATATTCAACCTCATGTGCCTTTACAGTTCAATTTCTCAAAAAAAACAAAAAACCTTCCTTAAAAACGTGATTCCATAATTGTCACTTTTGAAAGTAGTTCATAGTATAACAAAGACCCTTTTTCATTCATTTAGGTATATGAAAGCATTTATTTCTCTGTATTAGAATTCTCTGGGTATAACACACAGTGTTATGTGGCTCAACAATTTTAGACAGTACTTGCCTAAGACCCCAAAGACTAAAGAAATACGTATTTGACCTTCAACTGCCAATTAGAACTTGTGACCTAAATATTCTAGGCAAGGTTTCACTGGACAAGAAAAAATTTTTTCATAAGATTTCTTTCCTATATTGCAAATACGGTCCACTATCTTCCACAGAATAGCAAGTGGAAAGAGAAATTTATAAGTATGGGTAACTCTAGGAGATGAATTAACTTTTATACGGCTATACTGTTTATTAAAAAAGGACAAAGTATATAAAAGACTACCAGAACTGATGGAGGATTTGCCACCGCGTGGTCCACCACGACCTCGACCCCCTGAAACACTCCGGCCTCTTCCTCCTGGGCGTCTCCTGCTGTCACGCTGATGCCGGCTTTCTCGATCATCTTCTCCTGCTAATGACCAATCGCTCAGCTCATCTTTACGTTCCGATTCTGTTTCAGAGGGGTTGGACAGCTCAGAGTTTGTACCTTGAGAAAGTAGAGAAATAAGCCAAATGATTCCAATGAGGAAAGAGGCTTGAAATTTTCAAACTTATTTCATAAAGGTTTAAAAACAAATGTTTATTAGTTGCTTCAAAGATTGCTAAAATGTCATATGAATATGAAATGGAAAAATAATGTTAGTATATACAAGTAGTATTTCTATATAACATGATCGATAAAAAAGGAATTTTTTAATGGGCTGAAACATATTGAACCAATTATAAAAATATAAACTATTACATATACAATGAATTAATGTTTTATAAAGTTTTGCTCATTTTTAGGTTTTAATACTCAAGATTATTAATTACTATGTACAGCAAATTTCACTGTATTCACAAAAACAGTTTAACTGTAGAGGATATTCAACTATTATTATATTTACCCTAGGTACACCTTATTTTCGATGGTGTCATAAACTGCAAGTGTTTTTTAACAGTGGGCATAGAATAACACATTTTGTCCAAACAGTCTATAAGAACATTGTATTATATAAACTTTCCAACAAATTTTATAAAGGCTACTTTGAGAGGTAAGTAAAAAAAAAAAAAAATGACAGTAGAATGGAAACAATTTCTAAGATGAAAACTCAGCATGCCGTTAGAAGTTTAAAGACAATTTCTAACATTTGAATGACCTTATTTGGTAGAGACTTTTTCAAAATTTAAAAGCTGCAACGATTTTGAAAGAAGACTATAATACTATCATATTGCAGTTTAAGAGTCTTTAAAAGCTACAGATTTTAATCTGCCTATAATTTTGTTATATTGCAAATGAAGTTTATGACCCAATCATTATCATATTCATTTCCACTTTAGTTCTAGGATGGTATACTTCATTTCTTCCTCTATCTTATAGTCAAATATATGTCCTTTAAAGCCCTGTTCAATTGATAGTGATCGAAGAATTTAAACAGATTTTGCCCCTTACTAAAAAGATTTATCTTTTTCAGTGATCACATGCATTAGACTTAACAGCTCTAAGGACATTTTCTCACATCCAAGGTATCATCAATTATAAAACATACTGATTTATGTGCCATTTAGAAAGAGAAAATGTTGCTAATTCAAGTTTTATCACTGACTATAAGAAAGACACAAATTTCAGATGATACACTTGGAACGAGATATTCCTTTAGACTAATGGCACAATCATCAAAAATTCTTTGGATATTAGGTGTACAAGAATATTTATAACCAAAGTCAAATGGCTTTATTTCTCTTTTAATCCCATTCAACAGTTGTTTCAAAAAACACAAGTTATTCATGCTGCAAAATCTCAGAGGTAAGAGTGCCATCTACTGAACAATTTGCGTAGCTTTTTTCCAATCCAGATGGTACTCCTTGAACATGCTCATACACATCTTTCATTTTTGACAAAAGTATTTGCCCAAAGGGGACCTCTCTATAGGTAGACTCCTGCAGAGAAATGAAAAGTCTTCAATGGGTTCATTGTCTCCATTATAAAAAGTCAGATTTGATTTGATTTACTCATACTAATAATTTATGCCTCAAAAAACAATCAGAATTACTGAATCGTTAGTTGTCGTTAGTATTAAATCTTATCAGGAATACGACAATAGCTTGCAGTTCTTGCCTTCATGCTAAGAATTTGTTATCACTTCATCGGAATGTCACTTCAATAGAGGACTAACTAAAATTAAACAAAAACAACACACAAATCCAAAATCTGATAATAAAGGGTACACATAACCTATTTCTTGAGCAAATGAAAGGCAGTTAAAGTTACATATAACTTTAGTCACTAGTTGACCTTCAGTAACACATGCAACCTGGACCTGAAGTCAGCACACTGTAAGCTTGTGTGTATTTTTATTTTGCCTAGATGCTCTTTAATATTGAAAAAGATTTATGATTTTTCAAAACAGGATGAGCACAGGTGAGAGCAGAAGAGAAAGGAAAGGAAAGAAAATGAGGTCACTGCTAAGATCCAAGTCCAAATGTAGAAAAATGGAACAACGCCAAAGCTGAAGAAGAATAAACAAGAATCGAAGATTAGAGAATTCACAGCTGCCCCCACAGGCCTCCTTCCTACCTGAGTTATGCCCTAGCCCTAATTCCTCCCAAGATGCATTTTTAAAATTTTCATTTATAGCATTGCTAATTCTTTTAAGCCCCCAATTTCGTGAAATGCTGCACTACACAAATTGATTCCAGATATAGGATGTAAAGATTTGGTATAAGCAATCTTGGCACAATGAATAGCTAATTTTTCATTTTCCCTTTTCTTGGGAGGGTACACAAAAAAGAACATTTCTAGCAGCATCACCATTAAGTTTTTATTGGGATACATGTAAAATTATACTAGGAAATAGTTGGAAATAAATTACATGTTCATTTTAAATGTTTAGAATAAACACGATCGCAAACTATTAACAGAAACATGATCATTTCATGACATAGCTGCTTGAAAGTTACAGTCATTAATATACAACATTGCTATTACTACTAAGACATTTATTTATTTGTAACTACTATATCTTGCCCTCAAAAGCAAATATTGATGAACTAAATAATGGTAAGCAAAGAATATGAAAGCACCTAAACTAGAATTGCCACCACCAAAAAGAAAAAAGTGCTTTTACCATAACCGGAGGTGTAATTAGGGCCCCGACGACCTCTGCCTCTTCCACTATAAGACCTAGAACCTTGTACAGAAGAGACGGTACTTTCATCAGTGGCATATCCTTTTTCTTTTTCAGGCCCTCTGGTGGAAGAAGGTCTAAAACCCATACCAATCTGTCGTAGCTGTTCATCAATCTGTAGGCGTTCCATTCTTAGCTGTTCTACTTCCTTTAATCAAAACAAAAGAGAGTAAAATGTCTTACCTTAGAGCCTAAGTGTTGATGAAAGAAGCTTGGTCAATGACTTTGCTAAATAAAGCAGAATCCTCTTAGTATAACAAAATTTAAAGACTGATTTGCTGATTCAAGTCAGTAAGTATTTAATGAATGTATGAACCAAACATGCAAAGTGCTAGAAGCACATAACACAGGAGAAGGACTAGACACTCAAGGAGAGACTTGATAGGTTACAATCACCCAGTTAATAAGTGCCCATTACCAGGATTTTTGTTTTGAATGAGTTAAAACCACCGAGGGACAGTAACAAAAACAGAAGAGGCTTGAAAAAGTTCACAGAAAAATGGTATTAAAACAGTGGTTCTCAACCTTCCTAATGCCGCGACCCTTTAATACAGTTCCTTATGTTGTGGTGACCACCCCCTCAACCATAAAATTATTTTTGTTGCTACTTCCTAACTGTAATTTTGCTACTGTTATGACCCCTGTGGAAGGGTCGTTCGACCCCCAAAGGGTCGTACCCCATAGGTTGAGAATAGCAGAATTAAAAGATTATTAGAATTTTCCCACAAACTTTTTGATACTAGCCTCTCCCTAACCAAGCCATAAAATTAAGTAGCATTAACAAGTTACTTCCATTAATGTAGTGACACTTGAGTTGTGACCTAAAGAGACTGGTGGACTCAATCATTAAGAAATAAGGTTACCACAAGATGTGAAAGTAAGATGGCTACAGAAAGCTTTTGGTTAAATGCTGATAGACAATGCACTGGCTAAGACGCTTGGCAGTTCTAATTTATTACTTATATAAATGGCTTCCACAGAAAATTCATCCCAGTACCAGGGATGATTTGAAGATACTAAGGAGCTCTAGTGTTATTGTGGGCTAAGTATTTACTGTTAGTTATTGGAGGCCCACGGGGGCAGTTCTACCTTGTCTTGTAGGGTCACTAAGAGTCAGTACTGACTTGATGGCAATGAGTTTGGTTTTGTTTATGCATACTTTAATTTACCCTGGAATATGAGGTTAATACAAAAGTTTTAAATCGCTGAGGTGGGGTAGGAGTGATTTTTTTTTTTTTTTTTTAACTGAAAAGGCAGCAGTAAGCCAAGTAGTTTGGGAACCTACGACTCAGTCTTAGAAACCCTATGAGTCAGAATCAATTCAAAGGCAGGGATCCACTTTATGGTGATCCCTGTTGAAAAGGAAAAACGTATGACACTAAAAGGAAAATATGCCAATAGCAAGCAATTTAATGTAGTACTATATATATTCCATACAAAAGAAACGAGTCCAATGCCCACATTCTATTACCATGGTGTTAATTTGAACTCATTAATCCTAGAAGGCAGAGTAGCGAGCTGCGGAGGCTCCAAAGCTATACTTTTTACAGAAACAGACTGCCACTACTTTCACTCAAGAGCTGCCAACTGTGCTGTAAGCATCATGTCACCAGGGCTCCAACAGCAGAAATACAAGAATGGAAGTAAATAGAACATCATACTAGCAACAAATTACTTAATAATGTACACGTCATGTTTTCTCAAACAAACCCTTGCTCTTCATGTAGCAACTCATATGAGTATTTTAATAACAAAGATAAAATGTCTATAGCGATTATGTAGCTAAATCATACAATATCACAATTACTATGAAGCCCAACAATACTCTTTCTGGTTTTACATCTTATTGACATGTAAGGTATAAAAGATAAAACAAAATGGATCCAGTAGAAAAACATGCAGATCCGTAAGTATTGAGAACCCAGCCAAATTACAGGAACAAAAAGAGTGCCTGCTGCTTACACAGTAAGAAAGGCACACACTCCAAGGGAAGAATGGAAACTATACACAAGGCCAACCATTCGGTTAGGGGAAAGAGCTTTTCAACTTCTTAGATACAAAAATGGGAAAATCTGAGAGAGTGAAGCCAAAGATGTCAACTTTACTAAAAAACAATGATACAGTTTGAACATCTGAGGTATGAGAATGGAATGCCATGAACATACAAACCTTTAGATAAGCAATATGATACTCTAAGAGAACTTGTACATTTCCAATGCTTTCCTTAGTGCCAACAAATACAAATGGAACCATCCCCTACAAGAAAATAAAGCTTTGTCAGTATTTAGCATCTTCATAAATTCAGGCATGAATTTAACATACTAATACGTAACTTAGAAAACATATCCTAAAGCACACAATCGTTTCTACTACTAAACTTACATCCTAAAGAGACTGCTAACATCCATAATGTGAAGGACCAGGACTTTCAGCACTTCATTTTATCTGTTTGTTTTAACTCGGTCATGTTTAGCATTATGTGTACAAAAATTTTACAAACGTGAATCACATTATAGAACCTTGTTTAAAGGGGTTTCTGATTTATAATTCAATCTCACTTTGAAAGTATAGAAATCAATGTTTCTTTAGAGAGATATTCCTTCAAACGGGCATGAATTTACAGACTAGGTATATCAGCTTAATAGCGAGCGATAACCTTAAAATATTATTAATTCAGCCAACATATTGCTAACATTAAGTGCTCAGGTAACAAAACTGTGAGTTTGACTATTAGGGAGAAAACGTGGGCTCAAACCTTAACAAATGCATCAGTAGAATAAAAAATTAAAAAATCACTCAAGTACTATAGCAAATCAGTGAATTAACCCACATCTGCTTATTTACTGAATTTTAAAACACTAAAAGTTTAAAAGGTGAGAAGTCCGAATCAATTTCATTCTCATCTTCGCTTTACAAAACAATTTCTGACAGTTATTTAAGCAGAGTGGCTTAAGAATTTTTGTTTTAAATATAAATTTAAGTGCACCTTAATAATGTCAGTGTCTATATATTAAATTGTAATTTATTTCCAAAGAATTGTTTTTAAAATAAAAAGGAAGAAAGATAGCAGGCCAGGTACCAAGAGGTTCAACACAGAATACAGCGATCCCTGATCTTAGTTAAACTATTAAGACTGTGTAGATGGCAATTACAGTGACAAAGGTATGAAACAGGGAATCTAACTTCAGACAGTGAGGAAGCCATGATCCTATTTTCTCAGGAATTAAAAATTAGTTATGACATTCAAAGTAAATAAAATTCCCGATTCTGGAAGTTACTATGCATTGTACAACCATGGCTTACTTAATGCTGACTAAATGTTAGAGGTTAGAAAATTGAGGACTCAATATCAACCATTTTACTAAAGTCACAAAATTAGTAATTAATAAGAGCTAATTTCATAACTAGGCATATAACTCCAAACACTAAAAAAAAAAAAAAAATCACTGGCAACATGTCAGTTCGAACTCTGGGCAAACCTATTGGTTCTAGGCTAGAAATGAGCTTCAATGGGTTTTTTTCAAGCGACAATCTTTCCAGAAGCAGACCGTTAGGTTCTTCTTCCATGGCACTGTGCTGGATGAGTTCAAGCTGCCAATTTTTCAGTTAGTTGTCGAGCACAAATCATTTGCACCACTCAGGGACTTAATGCCAAATCACATATTACTTACTGCCAGAATCTATGCTGAAATAAAAAATAAATAAAGCAAAGTCCCAGTTTTAAAGACAACCTAAACTCAGACAATACTATATGTCTACAATAATCTCACTGTATATCATTAGTGCTGTGACTAAAACACAGGATATTAGAGAGAATATGAATTGCTCTGCTCACGGTTTTATAAATGTTAGGGGGATTCCTAAGAAAATTAAAGAGTTTTTTTTATCAAGTACCTAAAGAAAGGAGAGTTATTCCAGACAGATGGGTCTGCAAGGAATAAGGTAAATACAATGCTTTGATCTTGAGTAAGAGCTATTATCACCAACAGTTAGCTCCAAAGAAAAGGAGAGGTGAAGGAACCTCTAAAGAAAATGTATTTTCTAGAGTATTTTATTGGCTATTTTAAGACCATACTAAAAACTAAATGATTATTGAACAGAAGAGTTATTTCAGTGAAATTTCAAGGTTTTCTCAAAAATGCTTAGAACTGATCAGTTTTAGTAAATAAATGACATGGAAAGAATCAAACAACACTCCAGGAAAAAATATAACTGTTTCCATATAATTCCTGATAATTGATACCAAATAAATTACAGTTGAAGAGAATACATTAAGAAAAATTTTTAAAAATCAATTAAAAAAGAAAAAAAGAAAAACTACCGAAAATGATGGGCAGGAGTCTCAAGATGGTGTCCAGGTAGCATCACCTACCCAGTGCTCCCATTGTTAGATTGGAAAATTAAGAAGTAAGGCGGCCAATACTGGGAGGCCAGGTGCTAGAAATAGAATCCCAGTGTACTAGGGTTTGTAGTTCGGACCTCCTCTTACGATTTCACCCACGGAGCACTCTGAGGGCTCACTGTTGTGCTCTAAGTTTACTGTGTCTGCCTACGTGGCTCTCCACACCCCCTCACCAGGTCCAGTGGGGCAGCGCCTGCCACCCCTTCCTGCACCCGAGATCTTGGGCTCTGAAAACTAACCACTTGAGCTTGAGCTCACTCCAGCTCTCCTCTCTCTGCTAATGCATTGGAGGGTTTTGCCCCTCCCCTTCCCACCCAGGAACAGAGAAGAAAATGATGAGTTTTTGAATGAACTGGAAAAAGAAGAGAAAAATTTGCCACTATGTGACGCAAAATCCAGAATAATAAGTAACTTAACTCTATTATTTAAACAACAATTAAAAATTTTTTAAGCGCAGGGGGAAAATTTAAGTTGAAAGAAACATTTTTGACGTTTCATTCACAGGGAAATACAATAACAATTACACCTTCTCCTCACTGATCTACTGTATTGATATGTGGAGTTTTCTCATTAATAATAATAAAAAGAAATCCACCATCCACCTATTCTGTGCATGAACAGCATGTGCGTCCCAGTAATGAACACTGAAGTAAAAGAGAGAATAATGTTGGCCATGATAATTAAGTTTCTGTCACTTGGCCTGGGCCATGATTCTCAGTGACTTTATAGTTAGTAAGTTAACAATGGAATTTTGCAGTTATAAAATTATGTAGTCGAGTCTTCAAATGTTGATTTGTTGTGAACTTCTTTAATTTTTGCACAGTGCCACTTTTTGCAATCTGGTCAGTGGAACCTAATCATGTCGGGAAGTGGGAACAGTGTATACGATAAGCATTGCACTATTAATTTTAAGTCTTCTCTCAAATACATCTTCAAGTCACGGGGGGAAGCTCTTTATAAAAGTTAAACTTTTCCTGAAGCTATGCAGGAGTAATCACTGGCAATAACATTCCAAGCTACAATTATTCACGTTTATAAAATTAATGAGTATTTTCCTATTCAAATTTAGGTGATACATCATCTCTATATCCTAAACAATGAAAAGGAATAAAGAGTGGTTATTTTAATGGATTTGTTTATAACATGATGTAATCTATAACATATAGATTTTTCTTTCTTAAGGCCAAATACCTACCTTTATTTTTTTCTTTCATTTTTATGAAGAATGATTCTAGTCAATAGGGTAATGTAAAATTCTCCTAAACAATACTCTATGGTGTAAAATTAAAGAAGTGGTATTTTGCTTTCTTGACAATTTGGGAAATATGCTTGCCTATGTTCAGGCACACAAAATAAAGTCAAACACAGCAGTTTACTATGAAAGCTATAAACAGGAATAAGATCCCTTTAATACTAAAAGAACAGAATTACAGACAAAACATCCACACAGGAGGAGAGGTTATAAAAGATATTCCAGGATGACTAGGATCAGAATTAACAGCAACACAAAAGCTTAAGGAGTTTCCAGTGATCATTGCTTTCAGATTTCACAGTAAGGACAGGGAGTGCGGTTGTGATGCTGGGGCATGAATCTTTGGCTTAGCAATGATGTACTAATGTAATGTGCAAATTATATAACAATGTAATCACCCCATAATATTAATAATTGTCTGATGGGATAAGGGAATTAGGTTAGAATGCCTCATCCTTACTCAGGCCAGAGTCTTTGGTAAAGAGAGTCTCCTAATATATTTGGATTGAACTGGCAAAGAAACTTTATAGCTTTTTGTTCGCTCTGGAGTCTTCATCCCATTTTCAACAGCTAACCTCTGGGCCTTGGAATTTGCGCCAAGTGGCTTGCTATATTTAACACTGCCTGCTAATCTTGAGTTTCATCAGCCTCCGTAGCCTAAACCAGCAGCTTACTGTTTGATTTGCTGGTCTTGGGTTCATAATTCCCTGCATCTAAATAAGTTGGGAGACGCCTCCAGTCTAACATCTAACCCATATACTTGAAACGTGCCAGTTTCTTGATGTAACTATGCCCTCCAGCCACCAACCCCAGTGCAAGCATGCACATGAGCACACTGGTCAGTGTGATCTATAAAGAATTCTCTATAACAATTTGGGTAATTCCATAGCCTTACATAATGGAACATAAAACAATGCTACTACCTTTCCAAGTAAAAACTTTTTTTTTTTAATTGCCTTTTCTACTGATGTACTGGAAAATCCACTAAGAAGCCAAGCTCACACAATTGAAAGGCTAATTGTTTTCTAGCTGTGTGAAGCACATTTTACAAGGCACAGAACAAACTAACCTGAATTGAAATGAAAGTAGCTCATTAGATGTAACAGTTTTAAAAACAAAATAGAAAATAGATAAGAATAAGGAAAAAGGGCAACTTAATTACATTTTAATGACTTACATCTTCTCTGGGTAGTTTATTTTCATTGTCTCCTTCAATTCTCACCCGAACCACACCAGATTTGTCCACAATTTCCTGTATAACTTTGCCATTTTTCCCAATTACTTTTCCTTTAATAAAACAAACATAGTAATCAATTAAACACCAACATTGCTATCCTTCCATCAACCACCAAGATTAATTTCAGACTTGCTATCAAATTAGAACCACCAAGGAAAAATCTACCTTTTTACTACTCACTCTCCAGATAAGTGACGGATCTAATACTTTCGCATCACTATCCCTTTTATTAATTAGGATTACGGTGCTCCTGACATGTTTGATATTTTCAAATATTTTATTATATGTGTTACACAGCATTTGTATTTTTAAAAGCTTTTAAGAATTCTCAAACACTTTGAAAGCCTGAATTTATACATGAAAGTTAACAAAAACTTTAATTTGGTACTGATGGTTTCTATTATGCATAGTCCTTCACACAATTAAATTCATCCATCTTAATTTTTTTGTTTGAAAAGTTGCAAAATACAGTTTCCCCGAAAATAAGAAAGTGTCTTATATTAATTTTTGCTCCCAAAGATGTGCTAGGTCTTATTTTCAGGGGATGTCTTATTTTTCCATGAAGAAGAATACGGTACACATTTATTGTTTTATTAAAAGAGACCTCACACTTCCTGTCTGCTCAGCTGCACTGCGGCCAACTGTGAGCTGCGCGGCGGCGCTGCCGCCACTACGGTCCAGAGTTGCAGTAGCTTGGGGGAGCTTATTTTCGGGGAGGTCTTATTTTGGCGGGGGGATGCCTTACATTTCAGCGAGAGGCAAAACTTATTTTCAGGGGATGTCTTATTTTTGTGGAAACTGTATTCTTTCAAGATACCCATGACCTGAAGATTCCTTCAAAATCAACATTCGCTTCAGTAAAACAAAAAGTTTACATGTAGTAAGTACTACATTTCACATCAAGAAGCCAAGTGTACAAAGTACTTCACAGCTAGATGCAAGCAAATACCATGATAGAGGATATGCTCACTGTCTTAGGTATGGAAACACTGTAAAATGACATAAAATTCAAATTATTTACCTTCTCCACACTTTACTTGTGAGCCTGTCAAATAGCAGTTCTTGAGTATTCAATAATTAAAGGGAACACAGAGGGGCGGGGGGGCAGAAAATACTCTTCCCCTGAGAAACATGCTATCACATTATAAAATCAATAGTTTATAAAGTAACAAAGAACTACTGAGTAGTGGCACCTCCTAGTAACAGAATATTCAGGTAAGTTTCACTTTATGGAATAGATATATTCTATTCTAGATATTCTATATATATATTCCATAGAAGTGTACACACACAATTATTTTTTATTAATTTAAACGCACAGAAAAAATTCCAAATCCACGTGCAAAAAAAAGTGAATTCTGGTTGAAAGATGGTTTCTGGATAATTTTTCTATCGAAAGCTTAAAAAATGAGTTTCCATTAAAGAATAAGGGGGCAACAGCAACAGTAAACTAGTCAATACATCAAATGCACTGTTCTACTTAGGATTTTCTTACTTTTGTATTCCTATTCCCATACCTCGTTCCCGATCAATAACCCTAAATTTAAAATATCATCAACTGAACAGTAGAAAAATAAGAGTAGGAAGGAATTCGCATGTTATCTCATCCTAGCAGCAGCAGTATGAAAGCAGCCTTCATTGTTTGCTTAGCAACTCGCTGATCCTGCCAAAGGCACACGAAGACAAAGTATGTCATCACCATTTGCCCATACTCTTCCTTCCTTCCTTTCGTCTTGTGAACTACACCAATGGTGAGTCAACATCCACCACCATTCTCTGAGGTCCTTGGTAGAGACCTCCCTTCAAGTTTCATTTAACCTCACCAGAAACCAATAATACGAATTGAGCATTTACAGTTTAATTTTTCCCAGTATACTAACAAATTGGAGCAGACCTGTAATATAAATTCCAAAAGGACAGAGTAAAAAAGCAATCAAAGAAAACGTTCACAAGTTGGAAGGTTTTAATATATTTTCAAGTCAGTGTCCACATTTTTTTTCTTCTGATTTGAGAGTGGTTGGGATGGACATCGCCCTACAACTCATGGAACCGAACTGCAAGGCAATCTTCTCTGTAACTTACCCACCAAGTGATCCTCATTCCCTTATATTTCTTAGTCCTCCTATTTTCTCTTTAACTTAGACTAAGTATTTACTGCTTTTAAAAACTATTTCAACCACAAAACATTCTGAAGGGAGATGTAGTAATTTATGGATGGCAAATCAATGGTAATCTTTGTATCGCTCCAGAGTAGTATGTCACGGTGTCAGAGCGGCTGCTTCTGTTTAGTTCTCATAGAGAACACACACACACACACACACACGCGCGCGCGCGCGCAATAACAAAACCAACCAAGACAAACTGGAGGAAAAAACAGGTGACAGGTATTCACATAGCTGCAACGATATATGAATGAAGAGTAGAATCAGAGAATATATCCAATTTCTATTATTTCACTTCCACATATTCTTCAAGACCAGAGTCATCTTCCAGAGAAATCCTGAATGGGAAAAAAGCCTAACATCTTTACACATACTATCCTCCAAATCAATTTTACAAATGAAGAACTCTTGTAAAAAGAAATTATATTCTACCACAATGCTAGTATGTTAGAGATAAGCACAAGTTAAACAGATAAAAGGAGATCCCCCCCCCAACCCCAAAAAGCTGCTTCTTTGTCAAGTGATTTAATATGAACATGATAAAACATGTGACAGCATTTTGTACTCAACATTTACAAAAGGTAGGCAAAATTCTTGGTTAAATTGAACATTTTAACTTATTGCTCCATTTCAGTCTACAATGAACAATGGTACATACCAAGAACTGATAAAAAGAAATTTAACATACCGTATTATACTCGTGTATAAGCTGAGTTTTCCAGCACATTTTTAAATGCAGTTTTTGTGATACAATTAGGTGCCTTAGCTGATATTCTGGGCGGCTTATATTCGAGTATATATGGTAATATCAGCAGTTATCAGGATGTTTGGGCAGAGCTTAAAGCTTTTTATACAAACACTGACAGTTGAATTCCATAATTGCCCACTATTTGTGACTGGCTGAAACAATCAAGTGTTTATAATAAAAGCTTTTTCCATGTATTAACTGCTTTATTAAGTTTAACAATCAGAATTATCGCCTAGAAATCTATTTCAAAGTTAGAACATGCTCAATTATGTAAATGGAACCCAGGATCTGAAATTATTTCCTTAAATCTAAAATACAAATGATACTGTAGGCAACAAAACTTCACTGCATTTTATGTGGCTGTTTCTTTACATTAAATGACAAAGATATTACTGAGTATTTAACACTTAAGCTTTCCCATATCTCAAACCATCTTTAAAATGAGGGCTTATTAAAAAGAAAACTATTAAATAAATCTCAAGTTATAATGCTCATTTAAGTATACTGTCAGCCTCAAGATTTTGTCAATTAGGCTAACCCATTGGCTTCATGGTTTTCATTGACGGTAACACAAAATCATAATTTAATGAAACCTCCCCTCATAGCATCATCACCATGTTTCTCTCCTGCCCATGGTGTCTTACCTGATTCTATGCCTTTGCAACAACCATTTATTATTTATTCAGGGCCTACTGTGTAGAAGATTATTACCCTACTGTTAGTCCATTGTTATTTTTTTCTGCACTAAATAAAAGAAAAGAATTATCACAAACACCTTCTCAAAAAATATTATCACAATTTTGACGGACATATGAATGATAAAAAGACATTTAGGGAATAAGAAAAACAAAGGATAAAAAGGATTAGGAAAAACTGTAATGATAAACTGTTACCAAAATTATAGGTCACATAAAATAGATGACCTTTTCTTCTTAACCCATGACCATAAGAGGTACAGACTATATGCTATCACCAAAACCTGAGAATAGGTATTATTATCTAAGTACTCTACCATAACAAAATAGAATCAAGTAGCACACAACCAAGACTAATTTTCCTTAAGTTACCAACGAAAGATTTTTGACACAACAAAAACATTTTTAACTTATTAAAACATATAGTAGAATTACCTACCAACAAGATTTCTAGGAACCTGAATAAAATCCTCCACAAATTCCAAGAAACCTCTAGCCTTTTTCACAGCATCAGCACTCTGCGGAAAGGGAACAACAAACAAACATGAAATGCACCCCTGAAGCAACCCATACCCCACATCAGAAAATCTGCAAAGTGTCAAATATGAATTATTATTGAGTAATGTTTCAAGTATTTCATGAAGTACTAAAGAGAAAATAATAATCAGACTAATATTTCAAAGGCAAAAGGATAATAAAAATATTCGTATTATTAGAACCCTGAAAGGTTAGAAATCCCTAGGTCTTCTTAAGCTGCTGACAAACTTAAAAACTTACTTTTATTATATAGCTACTGAGAAGGCAAATTTTAATCTAATCTTAACTATCCTGGTCCACACTCTCGTGTTGTATTTCTTTAGGTAAGTGTTAAAAACGTGCATTATTCAAATGATCTAATCCAGTTTTCCCAAAATGGGAGAGGCTGCCCCCTAGGGGAAGAAGCACTGGATCAATCCAGAGGAGGTGCAAAAGCAGATACCTACACTTTACCCTACATTATAGGCTATACCGTACAAGAGTATTCATTTGCCAGAAGGGCGGGTGCTAAGTAGTCCTGTTTTGGTTTTAATCTGAAAAGTATGCAATAAGCCCAATAAGTTTGGGAACCTATAAGTCTAAATTATTTGCTCCCCCCACCCCCTAATTCACTCATCAAAAATCTTGACTCAACATGCGTTTTTGTTAAAGAACTGTTCTTACTAATAAGAACATTAAAAGGTATAATTATTAATGGGTTCAATTTTAAGGACTTGAGAGTAGGGAGATCTCTAGAGGGAAACTCAGTTCTCAAATAACGGCTAACTTCAGTTTTTAATGGTTGCCTACTAATAACCGTAGTCCACATTTATTGTGTGCTCATTAAATCAATTACCACATATGGTTAAGGACTTTTAAAGCTTTATTCAGTCCTCATATGAGAAATCCTTACAATGAGAAAATTTAAGTAAAGGTCCACTTAAAGAGGTAGAGATAGGATTGCAATCCAGTCAGGATAGTTCTCAAACAGTGGTTCTCAACCTTCCTAGTGCTACAACCCTTTAATACAGTTCCTCGTGTTGTGGTGACCCCCAACCATAAAATTATTTTCCTTGCTACTTCATAACTGTAATATTGCTACTGTTATGAATCAGGCAACCCTGGTCGTTCTACAGCCCCCCACCCCAAAGGAGTCGTGACCCACAGGTTCAGAAGGCTGTTCTAAAACATATACCATAAAGGTTCCCAAACTTATTTGGCCTAAGTAAGAAAATATTACTCAGAGTACCCTGGCAATTAAAAACTTTTGTCCTGTGGCACATAATAAAGGATAAAATATAGGTATGTGTTTGCAACACATCCTGAATCATTCTAGCACCCTCAGGTTATGGTATCACCCCTACACAACTACTATGTTACACTGCTCACCTGTAAAGATTTCAGAAGTACAGTTAGATATGAAGTCACACACCAATGCTTGACCACACAAAAAAATCAACTCTTAATATAGACTAATTTGGAGGATGGTCTCAAGAAAAATTTTAAAGTAGTTCCCTACTCTCAAGATATTATAGCTACAACAAACCTCACCTGCATTTTATCATTAGTAGTGAATGCTACATAAGAGGAACCTTCAAAAATCTCAGGGACCTGGAGATTTGGTATTAAAATGAAATATTTCTGTGAACTTTTCCACAGAAAATAATGCAGAGTATTTATGTCCTCGGGTGTGTTCACTCATAATAAATGTTGATGACTTACTGCTCAGAACACCGCATTATAGCAGACAACGACCTAGTCTGTCATGACAGCAGTTTGGGCATCTTTATGAATAGAAAGTTGGACAGTGTACAACTCTAATGGCACACAACAACCTCGTGGTGTAGTGGTTATGAGATGGGCTGCGATCTGCGTGGCCTGCTGTTCAAAACCACCAGCAGTTCCAAGGGAAAAAAACTGGGTTTTATACTCCTGTTTATAGTTACAGACTGAATGGATGGAAGTGAGCTGAGTAACGACATAAGACAACGGAACTGTGTACATATCTGACGGCCAGTACAACTCTGATTTCAGTTATTCCCGTGACTAGGCCTAGTTTGATCTTATTCAGAGAAAATGTATCACCCATCCCTCCCCCACCCCTTGAGATCCCAAGTAACAAGCACCATTGTTTTCTGAACTGACCTATCAACCTTGAACTTAACTGGACCCTCAGATTCCCTAAAAGTCACCTTTTTGGACCTTACTCTGTTATATTGGTAAATCCAAGAATGATTTCCCTGTTACGATATATTTCATAAGCTTATCTTCATTAGCTTTAATCTTGCTTGAGGCACTGATGGAAAGATCAGCTCTCCTAAATAGTTGACCTTTGTGAAACGCTTTTGGCACATATAGAGCAAACAGCTTACTGAGGGCCAATATGTTTATTTAAAATTTTAAATGCAGACCATATAAGACCCCAAGTTCAGTACTAGTTTTTATTTCACCCACGTTTCATGTCAACTTTGCAAGTCTTCCCTGTCTTGACTTATCTTAGAAGTCTTCCAAGCTCCCTTACAATAAATAATCCACCTGAAAACTAATGTCTTATGTGGGGCAGAATTTCCAAAACCTTACTGCAAAGCATCAGTGATGTGGGAAGATGTACATGTGGGTTTTGTCAAAAATTCTCATAGAACAAAAAGTCCTTCCTTTGGAAAGCACCCTAAGGAGGCTAAGGCAAGTGTTATTTCTGAAAGCCTTGTGCGCAGTCCTAGTCACGGAGAGATGTTTACACACACTGTTTTACAGAAGCCCACGCACACATGAACTATAACCCATAAACAACCTTTTGTTACCCTACAGCGATTAGCCAAAGGGGACAACCAAGAGCAGCTTACCTCGCCATAGATCCGAAATGTTCCAGTATCTTCATCTAGTTCAATGGCTGTAACTCCAGGAACCTTCCTGGCTTGCTGTATGTTACTACCATGTGTTCCTATTGCAAGGCCCATTAAATCTTCTCTCACAACAAATTCCTCATGAAAAGCTGCTGCAAGTTGTTTTGTGCACTATTTAAAAAGAGTAAGTTATATTAACTAATTTTGATTGTTTTAAATTTCATCTAACACTTAAGCATGGTAATAGGAAAGAGCAGTTCAAAGACAACCAACTTTCCTGAATTATTAATAGTCAGCTCTCCAAATGACTCCTATTTCAAAATTCACATAAATTATTAATGGCAGTGACAAATGTGTTCTTAAAGGGTGGGCAAACCTCAATTTCTATAGGTCAAGACAGTATGTACTTGAATGTACCCACACAACTCCACACTAGTAAGGGGGAAGGGATGAGGGGTAGGGTTGAAGACAAATAGGGGGAAAGGGTAAGATAGCATGCTCACAGCAAGAACAAATATCCAAATAGTATGGCAGTGAGGAAAAGGAAAACACTGAAGCAGTGATGGGTGATTAGCTTTGTTTTTTATGAGTTGCCCACTTTTCAGTCCTACTCGCCTCTAAAACAAGAGCTGTTAAAATACAGCAGTTACGGAGAGAAGGGTGACATGACTGACGAGGTAGTGAAGGAGATGCTTTAGGTAGTAGATAAGGTTAAGGGCTGAATATAGAAGAACTAGCGATATAATTCTGAATAATCCTTTTGCATTTCTAATCTCTTTGGTAATTGTCATCCAATCCTAATCAAAAACGTTACCGAGCATTTAGTAAAACAAAAGGCTTTGCTTGAGAAAACAGAGAAAAACAATTCTTAATGACTACCCAAAAAAGTCTTGAGTTGCCTTATGTAACAGTCAGGTAGTTTGAACAAAGAAACTGAAATAATGCTCATTAATTTGGGATACCAAAGAAAATCTTTTTAAAGGTAAACTCACTTCTAAATGCTTCGTGGCCTCTTCATTTCTGGACATAAGCATCAACTTGGTACGAATACTTCGTAAATGCATGTCACTTAAAATATTTACTCTCTTCACAGTTGCTTCACTGGCAGACTATAAACAAATTAATCATTCAAAGCTCAATGATTTTTCAAAATAACACAAACACAATTTTCCATAGGCACTCCAGTAATTCTCATCTACTACCCTCACTTAACACCTTCTAACACCTATGACACAGACACCTTTGCTTTATGAACTCCCAAATTATTTAGATGTTTTAAGAATAATGGGGGGGGGGGGGGCAGTATTCCACACATTAAGATGGTTACAATGTTAAGAATTTTATTTTCTTCCTCACTCCAGAAGAGATGAAAATAGTAATTAAAGTTGTAACATTTTCTCCCACACTGCATTAATAACATCATTATACACCAATTTCATCTGTTTTTGCCTTTTGAAATATCCACTATGAAATCTGTACTATATCCATCACCAAACTCATGGCCATCAAGTCAATTTTAAGTCATAGCAACTTTACAGGATAGAGTAGAACTACCTCTGTGGGTTTTGGAAACTATCTTTACAGGAGCAGAAAGCCTCACCTGTCTTCCACTGAGCTTTCTCCCACTGAGCTTCTGGTGGGCCCAGGCCACTGACCTTACAGTTAGCAGCCTAACACAAAACCCACTATATTATCACTAGCAACCTAAAATAAGGTGCCATCTTACCAGGATCATGAGCTGTGTGGTTTCTGGGTGGTAAAAAATTCTGCATGCTCCTACTGCTTTCTTAAAATCTTTATGAGCATTTTCATTAGCACACCTAAGAGAGAAATTAATTCATGTTTAAAGCTTCAATAATAGATTAGATTTAGCGAAGAGTTGTAATGCAAACCCAGTATTTCATTTTGACATCTCCCATGAAAGTTTTTGTTTATATAAAAGATTTTCTATCAGAA